CACCTAACTAACTTTGGATGAGTGGAGTCTATAAGAAAAATGGTAAGAGAAATTGTATATAAGCATTGTATTCTAATCAGTAAAGTTGTTTTCCACAGAGGTATAAGTTATCAATCCTGAAACCACTATACATGTACACTAAGACTGATTAATTAAGTATATAGATGGCCAATGGTAGGAGGTCAGTCTGAAAAGACTATATTACTGCATGATTCCAATTATAGGACATTCTGTTGAAGTGAGAGGTTACAGATAAGCAACAAGACTAGAATGACTGGAAGACATCAGCATGAACCCTCCTATTTAGTTTGATATAAATACAGCTGGTTACATATGGAAATATTTACTGATGTGTCTACACACAGATTAGTATATCTACATATATTTTCTTGCTTTGTCTGTTGAGAGGTCCTAGAAGTAATGACACCCTAGAAGCAATGTCACTTCAGTAGCAAAAAACACACCCAGTTATCAGGTCTTGGTTTCTATTACTGTTCTCTAAGAAAAAAGAACAAGGCCTCCTTGGAAAAACAGCTGATTCAAGGACTGGGGCAGGATATACGCAAAATAAGCTGGAGTACCTTATAGTGCCAGAAAGCAAGAAAGTACCTCAAATAAAAAACATAATCCATAATGACAGGGGTATGTCAAAGGGACACAGAAATTAAATCAGAGGGTTCCCAATGGCCAAAACTGGGTCAATTTGAGTTAACAAAATAAATAAAATAGTATTGGATTACGACTAAAGTATAAAATGAATATCCATTAGTCCATACGGATATAAATAAATGACTAAATAAATGGGGGAAAGACAAATCTGTGTACATTCCAATAATCTGTGTAGATACTGCCCCCCTTCAGGGGGTGGAGCTTAAATTTCCACCTCTTAACTGTGGGCTGCATGTAGTAACTTCCTTCCAAAGAGTACTGTATGGAAAGGGAGAAAAAGAATAACTTTAAAGTGGAGCCTGACACACTACCTCAGCCAGGTGATCAAAATTAGTATCAACAATGAGAAGTCATGTGGATAGTATGTACCCTTGATATGATGTAATAACAATGGCATTTTACCTCTGTGATCTTCCTCCCCAAATCCATAAGCCCAGTTCTAATCATGAGAGCAACATCAGACAACTCCCAATTAAGGGACATTCTACAAAATACCTGACCAGTATTCCTCAAAACTGTCAAGGTCATCAAAAACAAGGAAAGTCTGAAAAATTGTCACAGCCAAGAGGAGCCTAAGAAGACATGACGACTAAATGTAATGTGGTATCCTGGATGGGATCCTGGAACAGAAAAAGGACATTATGTAAAAACTAAGGAAATCTGAATAAAGTATGGAAGTTAGTTAATAACAAAGTATAAACACTGGTTTATTAACTGTGACAAATGTATCATACTAATGTAAGATATGAAGAGTAAGGAAAACTGGTAGTGGGGTATATGAGAACTCTTCACAATTTTCCTGTAAATCTTAAACTATTCTAAAATAAAAAGTTCATTTTAAAAAATAATAAATCAGGTCATACTAACCTATATTAAATATTATTACTTAAAAGAACTCTAGTTAAATACTTGTTACGGTGTTATGGTCTTTCATCAAATCCTTATATACAAAAAAGAACCATGGAGCAGACATAAGGAAAAACAGGCATATTTTATCAAACAACCATAATCAAAGAGTATTGATTAAAGGACTGAAGGCAAGAAGGAAGATTTCTGTAAGTATCCCAGGGGCTAGGTTTTTGGACATGACCATTTTATGATTATTTTCAAGGACCTGGATGCCAACAGAATATATGTTAATAAGAGGAAACTGGTAAGGACAAAAACCTTGAATAACAAAATCAAGACTGAAAATAATATTGAAAAGTTGCATACACAGAATCAATCTAACAGTGAAATTAAGCAGGGGAAAAAAAAAAAGCAATGCTTCATGTGCCAAAAGACAAAGCATAAAAATGTAGTTGGTAATTTAAGGGTAGCATTTATATTTAAAAATTTTTGTGTGATTTTTGTAATCTCACTGAGTTGTGAGAATGATAGGCTACCCAAAAAGTTTAATGTCATCTTAAGTAACACAAAGTATAAATTGTTAGGATGAAAAATGAGAGTAAAAGACCTCAAAGTTGGCCAGATCATATTTAGGGTACACATTAAGTTCTGAGAATTACATATTAAAGAGAACAACAAAATGCACTAAAAAAACCCCAGGAATCGTGATTTAGATTTAAAATCTTTAAAAATCTCAACTGCTATGGCATGCAAGAGGGATTTATACTTTGTTTGACATGGCTCTAGGGGTAGCACTAAATCCAAAAGATGGAATTCTAAGAAGGTAGTTTTCACAACTTTCATAGTGAAGATTTTCTAATCATAGGTTAAGAACAGACTGAAGTACACAGCAAACCACCTCTCTAGCGAATAAACTGGTGTTTAAGAGAAGGCCAATTTATTAGTGATATTTAGAAGGGAGTTAAAATTGGGTAAAAAAAATAAGCATTCATTGTCTTTCCAATCCTGAGATTATGACCAAAGAAAGGTACAAGTAATATGTAAGCTTAAAGTTCCTGTGATATTCAAAGGCCATCTACTTGAATTATGTTGATTTAGTTATTAGAGTTACTTTATTCTAGGATGCTAACACCTTAAAGTGAAACCAGCATTTCCACCCACCCTCAATCCCCCAAATCAAAGAGCATTTCTCGGGTTGTTAGCTGGGTTGTAGTGAGTCCAAACTCAGTCAATAAAAAAAAGAAGTTCAGGATTAAGTAGATTACTGTTCAAATACTGTATCAAACCTCCAAAGGCTTCTCTATAAACAAACTAATGAGCATAGCCTCCTGAAGTGCATTCATTATTCTCTAAGCTCTAGTTCTCTTCAAACTTGCTGTAGTTAAGTTAAACTAAGAGGCTGGATATTTAAAACTACAAGTTCCCCATCCTTTTGAATCATCAAGTTTGAAAATGTAAATAAATTATTATTTTTGTGTAAAATGTTAATTCCTTCAACTTTTTCAAAAGAGGTAATAAACATACACTTCTAGCTTTTGTGATTATCCATAAAATGACTCCCATCAAAGAGACATTCTAAGTAGCAGAGGACCAAGTAAAGACTATGGCTGCAAAATCTCTGTCATTTAACATCTGATTGCTTCATTGAGTTGTATTAAAGTCTGGCTACCTACAATCCACTGCTATTGTAAGAAACTGTTCTTGGCTGAATAGTCCAAATTACTCCAGTAGCTATGTCAGGCAAAGAACAAGAAATAAAGCAGCACAGAGATAGGCAGAGGCTTTGTTAACAGAAACGATGTTAGGCACATTAAAGCAAGTAAGGAAACTGAGCATATATTCTTTTAAAATAAATTTTAAATCTCTGCTAAGGTAAAGGTTCCATTTTCCTGTTTTAGTGTAATGTGTGAGTTTTAGCAAAAATGCTCTTCAGAAACTGACAACAGAAAAAAGGAGTTAATTCTTTACTTAAGCCAGGTGCGATTTTATTAGGCTAGGTGCAACAGGGCATGATATAAAAAGGAGAGAAGTCCTGACTTCAATTCCTGGCTCTGCCTCACAACACTGGCAATGTAATATAGAAAAGACAACCAATCGTCCTGAGCCTCCATTTTCTCATCTGTAAAATAGGGATAATAAAGATCCTACCTTTTTCACAGGATCATCAAGGTTAAATGAAACCATGAATATAAAAGCACATTTCAAACTGTTAGGAACTATACAATGTAATCTGATATTATTATTAATATATTACATCCAGTATTTCCAAAAGCTGAATAGATTAGAAAGTATAATTTGATTATAAGAACAAAATCATAGTGGTATTAGTATTGTGGGAATATAACTAATATGCCAAAGGCAAAAAAAATCCAAGATTCTCAACTTTTAAATGTTGTTCTTATTATTAATTTAAATAATGAGAGTCCACTCCCCATTTCTCCAAGGTCTTGAGAATACTGTAGTTAATCTGTGGATATCCTTGATGGAAGGGGGGTACTAAAAATAATTTGCTTGTGAAAATTAAGGAACAGGTAACATTGCTAGAACTATCAGGAAAGCATGGAGAAATGGTAAGAGGGGAGCCAGGAAGGAAAAACCAGCTTGAAGAGAAGTCTGGAGAATGTCTGGAAAGCCTTTCAGTAAATATCAACGTACATAGTGTTCACAAGCAACGGACCTAACACTCCTTTCTCAGCCTTCACCATTTGCTATCACATAGCAAAAAGCTAAAGTTTGCCATCAATCAACAAGCAAAGCAGCAATAAACAACAGAAGAAGTTTATTTACTTCTTTAGTTAAATACCATGGGAAAAGTTTGAGTGAAATCTGGGCACTTTCCTAAATAATTTCAAGAAAAGTACCAAAGACATTAACTGTGCTCTTCTTCATGGTATATACCATTTTTTTGAGCTCTGAACATTAAGTGTTATACATATTATTAGTGATTTAGCCATCTACTTCCAACAGAGTGTCTGCCAGTTTGAGTTTAACCGGGATCTTTATTGCCCAAGCTCACACAACAACAACAAAACAATAAAATAAGATGGAGCGATAAGCTGTTTGAGAAAGAGTACTAATCTTAGAGACAGAAGACTTGAGAATTCTAGATTTAATTTCTTCTCTATTTTGAGGAAAATCATTTAACTACCCTACTTCTGCTTCCCCATCTGTCAAGTAGGTTATCAAATATAAGCTAGATTGCCACCTGTCAGGATATTGCAGAGGGAATTCCTCTATTTGAAAAGGTGCTGGGAAAAAATTTTAGTTTTTCTGTTACTCTAAGACTGTGTAATATCCTAAAAATACATCTTCCCCCAAATAAAATAAAGGTGAAGGGCCTCAAGCACCTCAGCTAAAATTTAATTAAATGGTCCTTCTTTGGGAAATCTTGAGATGAATTATATTTATCAAAACAATTTTAAGTACTTATTTTTTTTCTAATCTAATGATTCTTTTTTTTTCTCTCTCTCTAGAAAATTTACCTTTATCCTTATCCAATGGTTCCTGGGAAAGAATAGTGCACAGTACCGGGTTTTTCCACACCCCAGTCTCTTGAGCTAGAGTAGCTAAAAAATGCAATTCACAGCTGCCATTCTCCATCAGCTTTTCATGAGCTACCTATAAATATTAAATAAACATCCAAAGAATTACAACAGATTTTTAAAAGCAAGCTTATCAGGCTCTAAATATAATACTAAACTTTTGAAAAATAAGATTTTTATCTTTAAAATTTCACATCACATTACAAAGTGCTGAATTCCTTTACTTCTGATTCTTAAAGATGAATCTCAAGAATTGTATCAACTGTAAATTTTAAATAAATACAATGTATTTCTAGTGATAAGTCAAAATTATTTTTCCCCCAAAATCTAAACCAAGAGCAAAGTTACTTCTGAAGGAAGCTATCAGAATATCCAAGCATAAAAGACCTTACACATTTTATATCCTTTGTGTTAGTAAAAAACTTTTTCCAAAAAAACTTCTATCATTAATAAAGGACAGATTTACATCAAGGCCTAAGTGACAACGTACACATATTCCAACAAAAGGGACTTATGAAAACAACTAAATGCATGATTTTTCATTTATTCATTACATAGCCTTGGCAATATTCTATTTAAAACTGACACTAAAACTTGCTTACTAGTTGTTTCCAAGTGTTCATGCAATTAGCATATTCTTCAAGACACAAAAGACCAATGGTTTTTATTCAATTCAGAAAAAGTTTATTGGGACTTTCTATGGGCAAAGGACTAGGGAAGAGAGCAACTGGTCCCTGCATTTATGAGGCTTATCCTCTAGTGGGGTAAAGAAAGTTAAAACAGTAAAACACAGGCAAAATGAAACATATGCTATTAAGCAGGCATAAAATAACCCCAACGAAGCTCTGAAATGAGAGCAAAGTGTCATGGAAACTCTTAAAGCTACATGCTATGTTTTTAGTCTATTCCTCAAAACCATAAAGTCTCCCCACTGCAACAAGTTCCAGTGCTTTAAGAAAGTTTCTTCGAGCAATTGCTAAAAGCTACCATATAAGGATTTAAAGAGTTACTTCCTTCTCATTAACCCCATATGAAAAAGTATCAACTAGTGCTACTGTTTCAAAAAGGAAAGTTTAAAAGTTTATCATATGCTGACAAAATAGCATGAGGAATTCAGTATTATATTTGTATATAAACAACTTAATTCATTCTGGGATAGAGTGCCAAACAATGAAAAGTTCTAAAATAATTATTTGCCTAAAAATAAATACTTGCTGGCAAAACAACCTAAGACATGAGTTACTGATATGCTGAAGTAGAAATTGCGTGATCAAAAAGTTAGTTGCAACGTGACAAGACAAGACACCTTCATTTCAACAGTTAAGTATTATGTGTAAGACACTATATGGAATCCTATAATAGTAATAAGATATGAAACCTACCTTCAAGAATTTTGCAATTGATGAAGATTTTAATGGTTTATATTAAAATAGCAAAGCTGACTTCTCTAACTACAGTTTATTTCACATGCTTCTAAAATTTGAAACTAATTATCTTTAATATATCTCCTACAGAAAAAAAAAATCAAGCCAAAAATATTTTATGAACTCTGGCTAGAGAAAGAGAAATACTTTCTGAAACTAGCTAGCAAAAACATTCTTTTTAATCAATTAATCAAAACTTACTTGAAGCTATAGTATATACAGCACAATCTAGTGCTTGAAACAAAGTTTAACATTCTTGAAAATACTCCAAGACAACTAAGTACTAAATTGCATAGTACTTCTATAAGGTAGAATAACAACACTAAATAAGAGAGACAAAGCATGTGTTTTCAGTTATAGGAGAAAAGCATGGACTTTGGAATAAAGAACCTTGATTCAAACAACTACTCTGTAATATTAGCTGTATAAATTTAGGTAGCTAAATATTTTAAAGTATGAGCCTCAGTTTCCTCACCTTTAAAATGGGAAAAATATACCTACCCCCACAAAGTTTTCGTAAGAATTAAATGATATATTAAATTCGTGTAAGGCATATTGCAGATGTTCAGCAATTAAACTGTTTCTAAATACAAATTAGGGCATTTTCTTTTGTTTTCCCTTACTGGTCTGGCAAAGTGCTAATTAACTGCTCCTAAAGAACAGTGCAATATTCAACCAATCTATCTAAATGCATATCTTCATTTAACACACATTTATGAACATCTACTATATGCATGACATTAGTGTTAATAAGAGCTGCAATTAATGCTGGTTATTCCCTAGATGTTTTAAAGTGTAGCCAAATAATTTTTTAAGAATAAAGAAAAGGATATACGATATACCTAAATGAAATCTAATAGGTAAATATTCTTACCTGCACCAGTGTCTGAAATTGTTCCCACTGTTTATCTGATAACTCAACAGGCAGACACAGTAGAAGTTCAACACAGCTTCTAAAAAAACAAAAAATTGGTAAGGATACAAATATTTATTAAAATTCAAAGTAAAAATAAATAATCCTAGTATCAGTAGATACCCCATAACTACTCTATTTAAAATTAAACTATCATAAGACTGAGATACCGAATTAAAACAAAAAAGCTGAATCTAATTTTTTATTTACTCAAAGGTCTACTCACAATGCCAAGCGTTCCAGAACCAATGCTACATTTTCACATTCAGAGGTAAGATAAGGTCGGGCTTTAACATAACTTTGGATAGCCACTGTGTATACCTCCAATAAAGGTAAAGGATCTTCTGAAGTTTTCCATTTCTCTGCATATTCAAGGAGTGTCTGTTTTGGAAGGAATAATAAAAAGTATCCAATGTAAATCAAAATACACACAGGCTAATCAACTGTTTTTCTTTCCTCCCTTAGAAATTTTGAAAAATAACATTTTTTATTTTTAAAAACAAAAAGCAGCTTACACCGATTAAAATATTAAAAGTAATAAAGTCACAGTCTTATTTCCAACAGCTCTCTGTAAGAGAAAAGATTAGTGTTAATTATCCAACAACAGCATCGTTTCATGATGTAAGGAGTGCAAGCATTATCTTCTTTCTTCTCTATCAAAATGACACCTTTCACCTCAAAACTCCTAAGATTTAAAGGTTATTTTAAAAAGAAGATACCTAGACCAGCTTGACCAGAAGGCATGCAGTAAAGAATTTCAAATATTTTTGTTTCTATTTTTCATATAAGGAGCATAAAATTCAATACCTAAAATAAATAAATTGCATATAGTCAGAAGACATGTAATTTTTCAGTTAATAAAAAAATAATAGTACAACCTATCACTATTTTTATGACAACCTTTATCATTTAAAAAATCATCTAAAGTACTTCAACATACATAAAATGTATATTAAAGATTAAAGAATGATAAGGTGAAGTAACTTTTGCAATAAAGTGCTTATTTTTTAAAAATAAAAACTCTTTATCCCTTAATGAAGTAAATATTTCAAATATGCCTTATCAGAATTACGAAAAGTAAATAAACAAAAAAAGACAACCCCCCAACCCCCCGCTGTTTATCCTATAGAAGGAAGAGGTGGAAGAAACTGGCAGCAGCATTTAAAGACACCCACATTTAAGACTCTACACTATTAAAATAGTGAGTTACTAAAAAGTATTATCAAAAAGGTTCTATAATTATACTAAATAAAGAAGGACTCTAGGGACGCCTGGGTGGCTCAGTCGTTAAGCGTCTGCCTTCGGCTCAGGTCATGGTCCCAGGGTCCTGGGATCGAGCCCGCATCGGGCTCCCTGCTCGGCGGGAAGCTTGCTTCTCCCTCTCCCACTCCCCCTGCTTGTGTTCCCTCTCTCGCTGTGTCTCTCTGTCAAATAAAGAAATAAAATCTTTAAAAAAAAAAAAGGACTCTAATTGTTTTTATAATATAGAAAACTGCCATAGTTGGTCCTCTTCACACTTCAAGATTTAAGACTCCTCTCCCCACATGTGGACATTCAGGTACCCTTTCCCAGAAAAGAGGGTATCTTGAATGAAAACTCCATGAGGGCTTATATCCTCTCTGGCATAGAGAAACAGCTTTTAAAAAATATGTAGATAGGTAGAAAGGTAGGAAGAAAGTTAGAAAGTTAGGAGGGAGGGAGGAAGAACTTACATTCTGCTATCAAACACTCAAAACACTGCCTTGTCCTCTCTACTACCTGTAACAGTAGTAAGTGATCAGAGAGAATAAGGAAGGAAGGACTAGAAAGGGTAAGCTGGTAAATTAAAGAGCAGCATAATAACAACTCACTCTCTGAGCAGTCATATATTCACAGACCGATTCTCTCCAAGTTGGACAGAAGTGCAGGTAACCTGGAGACCCAAACTTGCCACTGACATCTGAAGTGAGGACAGTCTTGTGGGACTGAGCCCTTTAACCTAGGGGGCGTTTGATGCTAAGTTCAGGTAGTTACTGTCAGAATTTAATTGTAGGACACCTATTTGGTGTTGGAGAGTTAGAGAAATGGTACTGGGAAAGAGCATGTATTTCGTGTTAGCAGTAAAAAAAGAAAAAATCCCTCAACACAACTTATAAATATCTAGCCTCCGAGTCTTCTCCCTCTCCCTCTGCCCCTCCCCCTGACTTGCATGTGCACGCACGCTTGCTTGTGCGTGCTTTCTCTCTCAAATAAAAATAAATAAAATCTTAAAAAAAAAAACTTATAAAATCTAAACCAAACCTACCAAATGAATAGAAAGATCTGCATTTTGGGATTGCTGGTAATCATCTATTTCTAGGAATGAAACAGATTATAATGTTCTGTTTTTAATGCTGGTTTTAATGTGTTCCTTGGGCGTTTTATGGTGATGTGGCAGAGGATGACCTCACATCTTCAAGAATTTCAGAATTAACACCAACTGTGCATACAATTCTTACTTTAGCTAGCACCTGTTTCTACACAGTTATTAAATATTATTTTTTTTCTGGAAAAACATGTTTAGATGTCTAGGAAATTTCATGCCTGGCAAATGTTTCTACTCTAACATGGATTGGATTGAATGCTTAGGTTTCCCCTATTAGTCCTCTAGCAGTAATGAATCAATTTCCAGAAGAGTTTTAATTTTTGCTGGAAAAGAAGAGAAAATATAGCATACCATTTTCCCAGTGGGTTTGAAATTATAAGCTTCTTCCTTTTCTTATCTCCTAACCAAAAGAAACCCTAAAAAAGGTCATACATTTCTACATATATGTACATACATATCTAGGCATACCTCATTTTATTGCACTTCTTATGTTTCAAAGGTATTGCGTTTTTTAAAAATTGAAGGTTTTTGGCAACCCTGCATTGAGCAAGTCTATCAGCACATTTTTTCCAACAGCATTTGCTCACTTTGTGTCTGTCACATTTTGGTAATTCTTACACTATTTCAAACTTTTTCATTATTATTATATTTGCTATGGTGATCTGTGATCAGTGATCTTTAATGTTACTACTGTAATTGTTTAGGGCACCACAAACTGCATCCATCTAAGACAGTGAACTTAATCTATAAATGTTGTGTGTGTTCTGAATGCTCTACCGACCATCTCTCGCCCTCTCCTTGGGCCTTCCTATTCCCAGAGACCTGACAATACTGAAATTAGGGCAATTAACCCCACAAGAGCCCTCTCAGTATTCAAGTGAAAGAAGAGTCACACATCTCTTACTTTAAATCAAAAGCTAGAAATGACTAAGCTTAATGAGGAAGGCATGTCAACAGCCAAGACAAGCTGAAAGCTAGGCCTCCTAGACAAACAGCCAAGTCATGAATGCAAAGTTAAAGTTCTTGAAGGAAATGAAAAGTGCTACTCCCATGAACACACGCATGCTAATAAAGTGAAACAGCCTTCTTGTTAATATAAAGTTTTAGAGGTCTGAATAAAAGATCACCAGCCACAAGATTCCCTTAAACCAAAGCCTAATCCAGAGCAAGACCCTAACTCTCTTCTATCTATGAAGGCTGAGAGAGTTAAGTGGCAGAAGAAAAGTTTGAAGCTAGCAGAGGTTGGTTCAAGAAAAGAAGCAATCTCTAACATAAAAGTGTAAGGTAAATCAGCAAGTCACCCAGAAGATCTAGCTAAGATCATTAATGAAAGTGGCTACAGTAAACAACAGATTTTCAGTGTAGACAAAACAGCCTTCTATTGCAAAAAGATGCCACCTACGACTTCCTTAGCTAGAAAGGAGAAGTCAATGCCTGGTTTCAAAGATTCAAAGGAAAAGGCCAACTCTTTTGTCAAAGGCTAATGCAGCTAGTGACTTTAAGTGAAGCCCATGCTGAAGATCCTAGAGCCCTTAAGAATTATGCTAAATCTACTCTGCCTGAGCTCTATAAATGGGACAAAACTTGAGGGATAGCACATCTGTTTACAACATGGTTTACTAAATATTTTAAGCCCACTGTTGAAAAAAAGATTCCTTTCAGATATTACCACTCACTGACGATGCACCTGGTCACCCAAGAGTTACGATGGAGATGTACAAGATTCATGTTGTTCTCATACCTACTAATACAACATCTGTTGTGCAGCCCATGGATCAAAGAGTTATTTCAACTTTCAAATCTTATTATTTAAGAAATACTTTCATAAGGCTAGAGCTGCCCTAAACAGTGTTTCTTCTGATGGATCTGAGCAAAGTAAGTTTAAAATGTTCTGGAAAGGGTTCACCGTTCTAAATGCCATTAAGGACATTCACAATTCATGGGAAGAGGTCGAAATATCAACATTAAAAGGAGTTTGGAAGCTGATTGCAATGCTCATGAATGACTTTGAAGGGTTCAAGACTTCAGTGGAGGAAGTAACTGCAGATATGGTGGAAACAGCCAAGAAAACTAGAATCAGAAGTGGAGCCTGAAGGTGCGCCTGGCTGGCTCAGTCAGAAGAGCATGGACTCTTGATCTCAGCCGAGGTAGTGAGTTTGAGTCCCACATGGGGTGTAGAGATTAAATTAACAACTAAAAAAAAAAAGTAGAGCCTGAAGATGTGACTATATTGCTGCAACCTCATGATAAAACTTAAAAGAGGTGAGGAGTTGCATCTTAGGGATGGGCAAAGAAAGTGGTTTCTTAAGATGGAATCTACTCCTGGTGAAGATGCTATGAAGACTGTTCAAATGACAACAAAGGATTTAGAATATTACATAAACTTAGTTGATAAAGCAGCAGCAGGATTTGAGAGGACTAACTCCAATTTTGAAATAAGTTCTACTGTGGGCAAAGTGCTATCACACAGCATCACATGCTACTGAGAAATTATTACTGAAAGGAAGAGTCAATCAAAACAAACTTCAGTGTTGTCTTATTTTAAGAAAATGTCACAGCCACCCCTACTTCAGCAACTACCACCCTGATCAGTCAGCAGCTATCATCGAAGCAAGACCCTTCACTTGCAAAAAGATTATGACTCACTAAAAGTTCAGATGATGGTTAATACGTTTTAGCAATAAAGCATTTTTAAATTAAGGTAAGTACAGAGGTGCCTGGCTAGCTTAGTCGGCGAAGCATGCAACTCTTGATCTTGGGGTTGTAAATTCAAGCCCCACATTCAGTGTAGAGTTTATTTAAAAATAAAATCTTTCAAAAAATTAAGTACATATTTTTTAGGCCTAATGCTATTGCACACTTAATAGACTGCAGTACAGAGTAATTTTATGTGCACTGGGAAACCGAAAAATTCATTTAACTCACTTTATTGTGATATTTGCTTTACTGCAGTGATCTGAAATTGAACCTGCAATATTTCCAAGGTATGCTTGTACCTACATTTTTCCCAAGACCCACATTTCTTGATATGTCTAGCTCTGCAAAGGGTACTCATACATTATTTCTTTCCTTTATGAACTCAGTTCTACTGTCCCTCAGATGAAAGAAGTTTTTAAACTTAACTCTAATAGGTAACCAAAGATGAATTCTTTTGGGTTTAACAGAGTCTGGATTGATGAGAAAAATAACTGACAAATCACAGAATGTTAGAACCAGAAAAAAACTCTCTCTTCAGGGGCGCCTGGGTGGCTCAGTCGTTAAGTGTCTGCCTCCGGCTCAGGTCATGATCCCAGTGTCCTGGGATCGAGCCCCGCATCGGGCTCCCTGCTCAGCAGGGAACCTCCTTCTCCCTCTCCCTCTGCCTGCCTGCCTGTCTGCCTATTTGTGATCTCTCTCTGTCAAATAAATAAATAAAATCTTAAAAAAAAAAGAACTATCTTTCTTCACCTCATTTTATAGATGAGGAAGAGGGAGAGGAAGCCGATTCTGGTGAAAACAGAGACCACTCAGGTGGCTATTTAGTAGTCTGGGAATAAAGTAACTAGGGAGAGGGTAGAAAGATGACAGCAGATTGAGATAATATGAGAAAAGTGATGATATACTCATAATGATTCCATATAAGAAAGTAAGTAAAAAGCTGGTTAAAAAACAAAATATCTATGTATATAAAGCTTTGAGAGTTGATATTTAGAGCTACACTAAGTGTGTTAATAGTAGAGTTTCCCTTGTTTCTCAAGGCACTAAGTTCAGGAGAACCACTGTGAAACTGAAGTATCCCCAACATAACTGGTTAATAAAATTATGCTTTCTTCAATTAAAAAAAGATTTACTTATTTATACCTCCTGCCTTAATCTATACAAGGGCTTTTAGGTGGAAATTTCAGAATGGTCTCCTATTCTTTTCACAGAATTAGAAGAGACCTTAAAGATCATTTAATTGTTTTACAGAGTAGTAATTAAAGGGTCCAGTGACCTGCATACTATTAATAGAATTGGTAATTAGCAAAGCCAAGCACCCTCATTCTCTGTGAAACATTCTGTCTACCACAAATACTGGTTGCGAACTGTAAGAGAACTATATATCTGTGGTGTTACTCTTTAACTACAAAGTACCTTTTACCTCTATTACTTCAATTATTCCTCATAACTATGAGATGAAGTACTATTTATCCAATTTGCCAGCCATACTAGAATTAAATAACCTTTTTATTGATTCAGCTTATTTTAGTTGGAAGTCAGACTCAAAGCAGCATACAAGAAAAAAAAGGAAATTAAGAGGAAGGGCAGTTCCAGGATTGGTTAGTGAAGTAGCTCAACAATGTCTTCAAGATTGTGATGAGCACTGGGTGTTGCATGTAATGAATCACTAAAGCCTATACCTGAAACTAATGTTACACAGTATATTAACTAATTGGAATTTAAACAAAAACTTGAAAGAAAAAAAGTACAAACAAACAAATAAAAACAATGTCTTCAAGAACCCACCTATGTCAAGAACGCACCTATGTCTTCAGTCTGCTCTCCTCAGGTGGTACCCTACCCAACCCCCAGGCCTTAAGACAGTGAAACAGGTTTCTTACCCAGACTCAGCAGTAACCAGAAAGATGAGACTATCTCTTCATGTGCATCTCATTTAGGAACAAGGAAACCTTTCTCAGAAACCCAAACCCAATTGCCATCAGATTCCTCCTCAGGTCTCAATGGCCAGAACTGCATCACACACCTATGTCAAAAATCACCTAGACATCATGGAACACCCTGGATGACTTTTAAACCAATCAGAACCCACTCTCCAAGGCTGGAGATAGGGCCTGATTCTCTGAAGCGTAAAGCCATGTGGAGGAAGGAAACTGTGTGAATAAAATCAGGGTTCTGTTAGGAAAGTGAGAGAGAAGCCAGTCTTACAGTTTGGTTGTCTACTGGTTTTTATGTCCACATACCCTCAGGAATGAAGTGAATATATGTGTGCATATATGTATGTGTATTTATATTTATGTATACATATAAACATATATTTATATATACATATAAACAAAGATAAAAGTCATTGGATCTGGTTTTGAGAGGTGTGAGGGGATAGTATAGAAGATAAGAATTAGGGAAAGGAACTTAAAAGTTTTCCTGTAAGGCACCAGATTGCTTCCATTAATGAGTAAAGTATTAAATATGGCAAGAAAATATAAAACTGTGTTATATGAAGAATGATTGATGGAACTAAGGATGCTTAACCTGGATAATAACATTTACTGAATATTTACTACAGACTAGGCACTGTTTTGAGAGCTTTACATGTTAATACCTATTAGCAATTAAATAAATTACAGTACTATATTAAAATTGGACAAACTGGGATACAAAAAGATTAAAGTAACAACTCCAACACTACAGAGCTAGTTAAGAGGCAGAGAAGAGATTCAAACCCTAACAGCTTGACTTTAGGGTTTAAATTCTATGTTCTACACTTCTGGAGAAATTTTTGATTCATAGTCAAATTCACAAATTTGAAGACCTATCATGTAAGAGAAGAGTAAATTTTATTCTGTGTGGTCTCCCAAAACAAACCAGGACCACTAGGTTAAAGTTTGAAGGAGATATATTTCTGCTTCCTCTGAGGCAGAGCAGAGTTAACCAAAATAAGACAGGTTAGCCTCTTGGGACAAGAGGATCTACCACAGTTATTCAAGCAGGAGCAAGATGACTCTGAGTTCAGGATGCTGTAGGAGAGTCATATTCTGGAGACATTTTATCATGGTGGAAGAGACTACACTTACTGTGGTATGTGGGGGTGTCCTAAAGCAGTGGTTCATAGAGGTTTTGATTGCTCTATTATTTTTAAATTATTTAAATTAGCTTCTGATATTTAAAAACAAGTTTTTTAAAGGTGGGAGAGTGACAGAGGGAGAGGGAGAGAATCTTAAGCAGGCTCCACACCCAGCATGGAGCCCAAGGTTGGGTTCAATCTCACAACCTAAGATCATGACCTGAGCTGAAAGAGTCGGACGCTTAACCAACTGAGCTACCCAGGAGCCCCTAAAAATAAGTTTTCCATAAAATTTGGATTTCTGGCTTTTCTTTCTAAAACATTTAGGAATTCTGGCAACTTTGGGCCTATATTCCACTATGACAACAACTGGCTAGAGCTAAGTGATAAGCCAAGGTCCTCGGACATAAACTCTCTCGTTGCTACAAGCCTCAACTAGTTGTCTCCCTCTTTAAGAGACCTCCTGCACCCCTACAAAGTATTTGTGGTTACAGCTTCTACTCTGTGGCATTATGGAGCAAGCTTAGAGAAGAGAAAGAAATATAAGTAAAAGAAAGGTTAACAGATCATGCTCTAACAGGATCTCCAAAGTAGTGTTTTGCAACCTCTTTTTCCTTATCATCCCTTCCTAAGGAAACTTTTGATTTTTCTTCCCTAATCATCCCCCATCTCCAATGAAATTTTAATACCCAGATGTATCATATACCTGTTTATGGGCCACAAACTATTATAATATCTAAGTTTTTCTCTTGAAGAGCCCATTTTCACCCCGTTGGGAATAAAAATGCACACTTTAACATTATGGCTCTTAAACTTATTTCTCATTATCTAAGTCAGCAGAAACTGGAACATATATACTCTAGGGAGAAAGACAGTATTAACTTCCAGCAGCTTCCTTTTGTTCCTCTAAGGATTATTAGGTGAGAAAACAAAAGAATTTTAAATAAAACTACAGTAGTGTTAAATT